TTTGATATCCCATCTCGAAACATCCAACGACTTGGAACTGTATTTAGGATCACAACTTTTAAGGTATGTTCCATGATCACCATCTCTATGCGCAACCATACCTTATAGCTATAAGTGATCTAGGGACTTTTATCTTAAGTGCAAATATAAGATAAATGTTTATTCTTAAAATAAAGTAATGCCTTTTAATTAATATAATTTTAATAGATTGTATTTACAAGTAGAATACGTCCATTCCGATTGGAATGCCGCTAACAGAGTGGTCATGGGAAGACAACAGCTAGGCAAGGTGATGGTTGCCAGGATCCAGATGTTGAACATGGAGTAGGGTTGACTGGGAACTCAATCAGTGCTACTGCTCTTCATGCTGGTGACAGCAGGGTGAGGAGACAACACATGGAGCTGGCTATGGAGGTTCACAAATGGCAATACTCTAGATGTAACACCCCACTTTGATTTTAAAAAAATTCCGAACTTTCCAAAAATCAGTAAATAATTTTTCGAACTCATTTTCGAAAACATGGGCGTTATTCAAACGTTTAACATCAACCAAGTCATATCTGGTTGCTCGGGGATTCATTACCCGATTTTTCACATGGTTTTCATTAACCTGATTTTCAACATAAGTTATTCAGCTTAAACACAAAAGCATGAAATAACCAAACACATGATAACCAATTCATATTAGGTTTATCAAAACATCCCAAAAAATCCAACATACTCAACCATGAGTTTTCAAAACGTTTTTCATGTCTAAACCCAAAACAAGGTTCAAAAGACTAAAGCATTTATTCATAAGCTGAAGCATAAATAAGCATAATCAATAGCCGACCCACTCGTGTTTTATCATCACCCGGCACCTGCTTAACCTGCATCCGTGAAGAGCAGGTGGGAGTGAGCACAAAATAAAACGTAGTGCTCACTACTATGCACATATATAACAATAACATGTCAAGATGGTATGGTCGCAGCATGAATATAAGATAATCACATCATGTCTCATCACCTATCAAAATCACAACAAATCACATTACTCATGTGCACATCTATCACTAGCCGCAGAACGGGGGTTCATTACCCGAAGGCAGGAGTACATGCCACGCTATGGACACGGCCTTCTATATGGGCTTACGTACCTCACAAGGGCACGACCATATCAGATCTTAAAGAGACTTGCCTCACAAAGGAAACCGTATTACATCGACGGGGACAATCGTACCGACGGCCGTCACAACTCACATCGATAGGCTACATATTTCACACTCATACATAGATCATACCGACTCAACAAAAATGAAACACATATACGGCATAGCAAGTTTTTAATAAGTAAACCCACCTGGTATAGCAAAAAGGCAGTACACAATTACCAGTAGGTCGCGAGCTCGGCTCGTCAAGCACCTACAATTTAAGTCGAGTTAATAAGGTCAATATTTATCACCTTAGAATAAAGTCACAATCATACTTGGTCGAACTTGATTCAACCAAGTCGTTCGTGAAGTTCTGTGGATATTGGAACATTTGAACTCAATACTTAGACTCGACAAACATGAATAAAAATACCACATATAGCACACAAAACAAGGTTGACCGGGTCAAAACACAATTAATGGTTCAGGAAAAACACAAGGGCGGCTCGGTATGGGTGTTGGCTGGCTTGCTGGCCTGGTCCCGGCACGACTGGGTTGCAGGCAGAGAAAAAGGAAATCAATCTGCCATCTTCTCTGGCGAACTCAAGTCGAACTGTCGCCACCGTTCTCGCCGACCTCCGAGCAGCCGCCGTCACCCTCGAGCAGTGAACTTATCGGACTCCAGCCATTCCAACAGGAACACGTCCAGCAGCCCGTCTGCCAGTAATTCCAGCAAAAGCTTCGTTCGCGGGTCACCGGCGTTCACCGTTCTTTCTGACGAGATCTCCAGTTCGTCGTCGAAGTCCGCACAGCAGAGCATCCGTGCTGTCGAGAAACAGGAACCATGAGTCAGCCGTGTCCAGCCCCTTGTGTTCCAAGTTTCGAAATTTCGAGGCCGTTAGGACCGTTCGTTCGACCCGTTTTCCGATAGCTCGTAGATTCTCGAAGACGGGTAATCTTTCGAACCTCCTCGTTATATTTCTGTGTACATTCGTTGAATATAATTGTACTCTTTGAATCGATTTCTATTTGAGTGCTAGGTTTATTTGTCGGTTCGTATGTTCGTTATTTATTTCATATGTCGTGAATTATTCGTGGAAGGTTGGAACTCTTGATTTCGTAAAGTCGAGTATTGTAATGTTGTTGTGATAAATTTTTTTAATTTCGAAGTCTCGTTTTGTCGTTTCGGAGTCTCGTTATACCATTCATTGGTTTCGAGCCTATTATTGTCATTTCGTGTTTAAACCATTTAAACCCGCTTTTTATAAACTTTCAGAGCCTGCGATATATAGTTTATATGTTTGGAGATATTCGTTAATTTTCGAACATTGGTCGCGTCGTAATCGCCAATCAACCGGTAGCAGGAAGTGTTCTGTGCAATCTCTATTTTCTCATATCTGCAGGCTTTTGTTTTAATTT